TCTCTTGATTCTCCAGAGGAGACACTACTCAACTAGTTAACCACATAGTGTTACAGGCATCATAGTTGACCTGATTCTCGCTTTTGAGCTGAAGTACTGGTTCCCATGAAGTATTCCATCACCCTCAGTATGTTTAAGGAGGGAAGGTTTATTAAAAAGAAGGGGAAAAAAGCCCATTCTGCTCTTCAGGCCTAGTTTACTTTAATTAGCATTTCATCTTCTCATATGTTTTCCACTATTCACAGAGACTTTAGCCTTTACCGTTTCTATTATGTCACTAACTTTTCATAGATATGTATAGATGAATATATATTTACATTGATTTTTATATAGAGAGAATTATATTTGTCAAGGTATTTACGATCTACTAAAGTTCAGTTACTAAAGGAACTTGCTATTTGTATAAAATGACAAAATTCAATGGACTGAGAAAATATTTCATTTTTATGGAAATTTGTGAACTGGAGTTTGGTATTTATAGCTCATGTGGCTGATAAGAAATTTAAGTATCTTAATTATAAGATTACAGTAGAATGATAATTAGACATGGTGTAATGTCTAATTAGTAGTTTGTTAGTCTTTTTGACTGTGATGCATACTGAAATCTAATAAATAAAACAGTTTAATGTTTTCTCTGTTATAGGTAGCTTGCATGCAGCTCATCAATGCTCTCGTTACATCTCCTGATGACTTGGATTTTAGGCTTCACATCAGAAACGAATTTATGCGCAGCGGATTGAAAGAGATACTGCCAGTAAGCATCTCTCAGTTCCTCTTTGCGTTACGATGTATATGGTTGGACTGTTTGAGCTCGAGAGGGGGAAGGGGAGAAAAAGTTCTAATAAATTATTCTTAAAGGCATTTTATTAAGTCTGAACATGAGTAGTTAGATATGAGAATCAGTCTTAAAGAGTGAAAAGGTGAAGTGTGCTCCCTGAACTTTGTGTTGATTCCTCAGCATTTTAAGACTTTTGCTTAGAACATGCGACAGACTGTTGTGAAGACACGTGTTAATCTCCGCTGAAGCCATGTTTACCTTTTGAATATTTAGCTTAACTCATGTGTTCTTGTAATTTTAAACTTTAAAATAACATAGACAAGAATGGAAATTATTAAAAAGATAAGGTTTATTTACTTATAGAAATGCTAATTTTGTAAGCCTTTCTACTGTTTCTTCTTCGCAGCAATTGAAATGTATAAAGAATGAAGCACTAGATATTCAACTGAAAGTATTCAATGAGCATAAGGAAGAAGACATGATTGAATTCTCTCATCGTTTAGAAGATATTAGATCTGAACTAGAATATCCTTTTGATATCAGCAAGAGAAACATGAACAAAATAAGTGTATAATGGAAATTTTTTCTGGTGTAATTTCTGTTTAAAAAACTTTTCAGTTAACATTTGATGGAAATATTTTTTCCTTGCTATTACTCTCCTTAACACTTTTACTGAAGTAAATGATGTCTACAACATGGTGTGGAATACAGTTAAGGACACCAGTGCTGAGGGATATTTTCTTTCTATTCTCCAACATCTTTTACTGATAAGAAATGATTATTTCATACGGTATGTTTAATGCTATGTTAAGTGTTAGTTATGGATTTCGTTGTCATTTAGTCATTGATAGGCTATTTCTTCCATAAATTTAATGCTAAATAAAGTTTAATCTTTCTCTTTGTGGATTGCAGTTTGTAAGTATTCCTTTGTGAACTCATATTCAAAAATACCAGCTTTGAATAAGAATGCCATACGGTTTTGCCTCTTCTGCTCAGGATACAATTTTATATATAAATCTAGAAAACTTTTTGTTGACATCTGAACCTTGTTGACTGCAAGTATAAGTGATAAGGACAGGTCTCTTAATCGATTATAAATCATGATAGGAGCATTATAATTTTGTGGTGTATTTGAGTCGAAAGTCAAAACCAAGCATGCACAGAAGTGCACTTTAAGCATATATTCAGATTTCTGTATAATTTAGAGTAACTTTTGGTTGGGAATTGAGTATTCTTAATATACATTATGGGTCAGTGTGGACATGTTAGTGTCTCTTGGAACATTAATCCGATAAATTACAGAGAAGTATTTGATAAAATCTTGGATATTTGAAGCTGCCAAATACTTTACTTTGTAAAATCTGCTTGTATTGTTTTTGAGGAAACACTGGAAGAATCAGATGTGAACTGAACAAGGAAGGAAAGCCCTCTATTTTCTGCATAGCATTCTGTATAACCTTGCATTTTAGGCAAGGTCTAGCACAGATGTGCCCTTAAAGGTTAAGAGTGCTTGCCTGGCATGGGTACACCTGTGCTAGACCTCTTCCATCTGAAAGGATTTGAATTCACAGCTTTAATGTTCTAGGCAAGTGACCCAGCTGTCACACCTCCCAGCATTTTAGAACAAGAGGTTTTTCATTCCTCTTACTGAAACAGGGCTGCAATGCATCCATAGTTACAAAAGTCACAAAACCAGAAGGGGTCAAGCTGAAGGAAGAGCCTTCTTTTTACTGGGAGGAGCAGGAGGGAGTCCTTCCTTCCTGTATTTCCCTAGGGGGACAGATGCAGAGTTTATATTATAAGAATCGTTTATCTTTAGGTCCATTATTTTTTCAGGCTTTGTGTAAACTGTTCTTGTGTAATAAACTGCCAGAGTATTTGTCCTTTGAGACTTGTGGGGTTTGCACCTACCCTTCTGTGGAAATAAGGCATCCTAAATCTTTGACCCTACTGCGTTCTTAGACAAGATGTTAAGTATATGTTAATAAATAAATAAATGTGCTATAAAATAACTCATCTCTGTCTTTAGTCCACAGTATTTCAAATTAATTGAAGAGTGTGTGTCCCAGATAGTGTTACATCGAAGTGGAACAGACCCAGATTTCACGTATCGTAAAAGATTAGATATAAATTTCAGCCACTTAGTAGGTAAGTACAACGTTTGGAAATGATTACAGTATCGTACTTTTTTATGTGTTCCAAAAGCCAAGTTGAAGTTGTACATATGATTAAGAATCTTGTGTTCCTTGTATATATGCAAATGTGTGTGTTTATTTTTTCAAGATGTTTGTGTAGATAAAGCAAGATTAGAAGAATGTGAAGAGAGGGCTTCTGAACTTTCCAGAAAAGTAAGTAATTTTTAAGTTATGTGATCATAAGATGGACACAGGGAATTACTTTATAGCTTCATGAATGGCGTAACTGAACGTGGTGTAGTTTCTAACTTCAAATTACTATTAGTTCTGTGTTTAAGTGGGAATTTGGAGGCGGCTTCTGCACTAGAAGCAGGGAAAAGTGATGTAAAGTAGTTAACCTTAATTGAGAGTCTTTCTACTCTTTATTTTAAGTACAAATCTCCCAAAAATCAACTGAATACTTTATTTGAACACCTATCAGTTTCTTCAGCAAGATAAACAGTGGTAGAATAAGAATTGACTTTTTTGTATCTACAGACTCTATATTACTGTACATAATTTTTTTCGAGCTACTCTGTCTAATTCCAACTTAAAATGCCTTGAGTACTTTATGCCATTTCATATAATAAATACTTGAAATGATAATAGAGATGGTACTTCCACTCAGTGGATGCATGGAAGTTAGAATAGCAGATGTGTTGTACGTATCCTTAGTATTATTAACATGTGAGTTTTAACAAACGCAAAAGGAAAAGTTGGAATCTGAAGCAACGATGTGGAACTGACTAGTAGCTGCAATTTTTTTTTTCCTTTCTTTCTTCTTAGTTTGAAAAAGATTTTGTAGTTCATCAGGAGACCCAGGCCCTACTGCAAAAAAAAGAAGAAAGAATCAATGAACTTGAAGCAGAATTACAAGCTTTTAAATCACAGGTATAAGACAGTTTAAATGAATCTATGAAGTGTTGTTTTTGAAAAGGACTTCATTTTGCATCTTTTTCAGATTCCAATAGTACAGCTGAGGGCTTTTTTAAAGAATCCTTGTTATTGATTATTATTGAATGTTAGTTTCCTTTATTTCTGTTTTTCACAAAGTATTCTAGTGTGACATTAAATAGCTGTTTGAGTTCCCAGATGATCCTTTTTGTGCTTGAGCTCTGTTAATTAAACGAGTTTCTTATGTTTCATTTGGGTTTTGCTTTCAGTGTCATATATTTCCAAAGTAATTAACCACATAGGGTAATAAGTCTTACGCTCTTAGATTAGCATTCATCACTGTGATCTTTATCCCTCCACAGGAAATTACTCATTACGCAGTTTGCTTTGCTGAAGCCTTTCTATGGATATCCAGCAGTGAAAGAAATAACCTGTGGCTGGATAAGAACGTTTCCTGATAATTTTTCAATTTTCAAGTATAAATAGATATTTTAAAATAATGTGATGGAGAGGAATAGTGCAGATTTTTGAGAGTAGTACTTGAGTTAACTTATAGCTGCTTCAGCTCTAAAATCTGTGTAAGGATACTGTGTGACCAAGTGATTTTTCCTGTGTCTTATTTTCTGGAATAAGAAGCACAGTCTGAAAATGAATAAAGCCAGACAGCATTGGGAAGACATGCATATAGGAAGGTGATAAAATATATGTTTTGATCATAGAGGGTTTTTTTATACTTTTGAGCTTGTTTAATTTTCTTAGTGAAGAAAATTAGTTTAGCTCTGCTTTGATATGTTGAAAAATGTCATTTTAATTCAAGTTTCTGTACAGAATTGACTGTTAATGTCAAAGTCAAAAGGCTTTAAAAAAGCAATTACAAAAACTGTTGCATTCAAAAAAAAATGGGAGCTGTATATCATTCATTAAGAAAGGGTTTTAAGTGTCTATCTTGAAAACATACTTAATGCTTATTGTGAGAGAAATAGGTTTTCTCTCCTGCAAATTTAGTACTCTTAAATCCATCTTGAGAGGAATGTTTGGTTTCCTTATGGCATCAGTTGCTACTTAGCGTGTTTACTTCCACCTTTCCACCTCTTAGGACTATTTTTCTCCTGATCTCGTTCCTCTACTCTTCTGTTTTATTTAATATTTGTTCATGTATTTTCTTTTTATTAGAGCCTAATTGTTTAGTGCCTACTTGTCAGGGTAAACAATGCGTATGTTCACAAATTCAAAAGAATAATACTGTTGTGCTTGTATTTGTTTGTATTTATTGCTATTCAGCGATTTCCTTTTAAAAATATTAAATCCTTTGCTTATTATATTCCCTTCCATTTTTTAAAAATAAAATGGACTGTTTCAGCTTATAATTATCAGTTGAAAAGTTGATTAATACTATAACCAGTAGACAAATATTTATTTTTTTATTCTTCCATTGTTTTTTTTCAACGACCTATTTATTAATGTTTGAAGGCCCATGATAAAAGTTCTTCAAATAGTAGAAAAAAATATAACTTTTCAGTCTTACTGAAGTGCTAATAAACTCATCTTGATTACAGTATAGATGTCCTCACTATATAGAATAAGAAGTCAGTGTGTAAGGCAGCTATGTTTTTTGGAAGGATTTTTTTTTTCACTTTGTGCTTTCAATTCTGAAAAATGAGAATGTTCCCATATTGGAAGATGTCTGTTTTTCAATAGAATTAGTAATCTCTTCAGATTCTACTATTACGTCCTTGGAATGTTGCTCTGTAATCTATAGGATAAGTAAGAGCACTACAGACTAGGATATTATTTTTTCAATTTGAGCTAAACCATGGTAGTCTAGATAAAATTTCATCAAGATACCTATGAGATGATTCTTCTATCATTATCAGTGAAATATGATAAGTGGGATATAGCATTTCAGTTCGTCATTTTTGATGTGCACTCCCTGCTCTGAATGTCCACTTCGAATGTTGAGACTTTCAGTTATGAAATCAAAAGCATGTTGGCCTCGTTATAATTTGTATTTGATTGCCCTATACAAGAAAAATACAAGACTTTCAATTGGCTTGCCAGATTTAATCTACAAACTATGATTGTTATGGCATTTTGTTGATAAAAAATGTGAAACTGATTAAGAATATTTTCCTTATCAGTATGGCTCCTTGCCTCCTGGTTTTCTACCATCAACACGTGGAGATGCGTCTATTGTTCCGCTGGCAGCTGCAGGACCACAACTGCCGCTTCCTCCTCCCCCTCCACCACTGCCTTCTAACGGAGCAATTCCACCACCACCGCCTCCCCCTCCTCCTCCACCACTTTTGAATGGCTTGGGAGTTCCTCTGGCTTTTGGTGGTGCTCCTCCACCGCCGCCTCTACCAGGCCTGCCTGGAGCACAGTGGTCTCCACCTTCATGTACTTTGCCATTTGGAATGAAGCCTAAAAAAGAATTCAGACCTGAGGTTACCATGAAAAGACTTAACTGGTCCAAGGTAGTACTGATTAATGGCAAATACTTGATGTAAAATCTTACGCAGAGCTTAGGGTAAATACATTGTCAAGAGTAAAACTATATAGAACAATTGATACGTTAGTTAAAATTATGTAAGATACGAATGCTTTCTGTCTTTAGTTTTCATTGTTTTCTGAAAACTGCATTTCATTCACTCATGAATCATCTAGGGAAGTATCTGTTGACTTTCTGAGGCACCTCAAAAAGTCAGTTCTGGTTTAGAATAATACAACCTTGATAGCAGCATGCTTCCTGGGTCTTGCTGCGCCTTGTCTTTTAGCAAACTGTTTACGTCAGATCAGTCACTACGCTGTACTAATATCTATAAAGTTTCCATATAGGTGTCTTGCTTCTGTGTAGCCTGGACTGTGAGAAGGAGCATTACAGCTTTCTCCATTTGTCCTTGGTGTAAACGTACTTATATAAATTTAATGGTTGAAAAAACGTAGTCTATTTTCTTTTTCTTCTCAATTGTTGACAGGATCTCAATCTACTGAGTTTTGGAAATTAGAATTATTTAGACCAAAATAAGTCAGTGAAAAGATTTTCAGAGTTTTACAAGGCAGTCAGCCTACAATCTGAGAAGTAAGGTACTTAATATCTAGTTAAACCTGCTGTGTTCAGAGACTATTTAAAGTTTAAACAAGTTCTAAATCTAGACCAAAGATAATTTGCTATGTTTAGACAGAGTATGTTGTCTGTATTGCTTTATATTGTTAGAATCTGTTAGAATTTGTTAGAATCTGTTAGAATTCTATGATTCTATAGAGGGAGGTAGATTCAGATTGAATATTAGGAAAAAATTTTTTACCATGAGAGTTGTAGAACACTGGAACAGGTTGCCCAGAGAGGTGGTGGATGCTCCATCCTTGGTGACGTTCAAGGCCAGGTTGGACGAGGCCCTGAGCAACCTGATCTAGTTGGAGATATCCCTGTTCCTTGCAGGGGGTTGGACTAGATGACCTTTGGAGGTCCCTTCCAGCCCTAACCATTCTATGAATCTATGATTCTAATTTGTCCAAAAGCACTTACTATAAGGATTATCTTCAATCAGAAATATATTAACAATTCTAAAGATAAGTTATATACTAATAGTTCATGTTTTACAGAGCTCTTAAGTATTTCATTTGCTTTATAATGTCAGAGCACAGTCTCTGCATAGTATAAAAATTATTTAATTAATAAAAGTTTGGTTTGTCTCTTACTTGTAGATCAGGCCTCAAGAAATGACAGAATCCTGTTTTTGGGTTAAGGCAGAAGAGGACAAGTACGAGAATGCTGACATGCTTTGCAAATTGGAACTTACGTTTTGTTGTCAAAAAAGGGGTAAGTAATTGGTTTAATTTTCAGCTTTTGGAGATAGAATTGTAGAATGGTTAGGGGTGGAAGGGACCTTAAAGATCATCTAGTTCCACCCCCCCTGCCATGGGCAGAGAAATCCTCCACTACACCACGTTGCCCAAAGCCTCATCCAACCTGGCCTTGAACACTTCCAGGGATGGGGCATCCACAACTTCTCTGGGCAACCTGTTCCAGTGCCTCACCACCCTCAATGTAAAAAATTTCTTCCTTATATCTAATCTAAATCTGCCTTCTTTCAGTTTAAATCCATTGCCCCTTGTCCTATCACTACACGCCCTTGTAAAAAGTCCCTCTCCAGTTTTCCTGTAGGCCCCCTTTAGGTACTGGAAAGCAGGTATAAGATGACCCCGGAGCCTTCTCTTCTCCAGGCTGAACAGCCCCAACTCTCTCAGCCTGTCTTCATAGCAGAGGTGCTCCAGCCTTCTGATCATCTTCGTGGCCCTCCTCTGGACCCGTTCCAGCAGCTCCATGTCCTTCTTGTGCTGGGGACTCGAGAGCTGAACACAGTATTCCAGGTGGTGTCACAAGAGCTGAGTAGAGGGGCAGAATCACTTTCCTCCACCTGCTGGCCACACTTCTTTTGATACAGCCCAGGATACGATTGGCTTTCTGGGCTGCCAGTGCACATTGCTGGCTCATGTTGAGCTTCTCATCCACCAGCACTCCCAAGTCCTTTTCCTCAGGGCTGCTCTCAATCCATTCTCCA